CCACAGTTTCTTTAGAAACTTACCCCCTTGATAAAAACTAGTTGTTTTTTGACGCAAGATGCCGACGTTTGAAATCGTTTCATTGTTCTAGAAAAAAAGAGCTCCCCGCCAACTACTGCTGCATCTCTCATAAGAAAAAACGCCTCAATCGCAACTTTGGTTTGTTTCAATCCTTTTCGCGGCTAATATTTCCTTTGGTTCGAGTTTTGTTTTATTAGCATAGAGTCAATACCATAGGCTGAAGTCAGCTTCATGTATGTTTCTTTTATCAGCGAATAACCTAACGCTAGATTATCATTGGTTTTTTCCTTCCAGAATTTCTTCTTGTTGTTGAAGAATTAAGACGCAACAGAAGAGTGCAGTTTCTGGATATGGATTTTGATTCTATAAATTTATATTCAGTGCTTTTTTTTTATAGAGAACTGGAATACGAAAAAAGTATTTCAATATCTCGCTAAACTCAATGAATTCAATACTCGTCATGAGATATTGATTTTACCTTGTTGTTTAATGCAAAGAAAGCCGACAATATAGTATTACAGCTGGTACTCTAACTGTGCACCATTGTGCCTATATGTACGACTAAAAATAACCTGTTCAATGATAACGCTTTTTATTTCAAGACTGTACTAGTCGAAAATACGGTAGACGGTTAATTTGGGTTTTGAAATATACTATGAAATTAACGAAAATTGCACGATGAAAAACTTCGAGAACGCATTTTAAATGACTCTATTGTTTTACAAATTTCGCGATATATTTTGTCTCTCGCTGCATGGGGTTGTTTTCAACACGAGGTCTTCAGTTAAGTAGAACTGATTTCTCATTTAAGCTGACCTAGAAGAAACTCTTTGGAAGTTGTGATGGAAATGATTCTTCCTGCTTAGCGTCAGTATGTATTTGAACATCAGCTGTTTTTTTTCAGTCTTCTGAAAAGTAAAAATAACCATCTCGGATAGTAATTTTCTTAGTTTAATTTTTGCAAGTCGCGCGCTTTTTGTCGTATACCTTTGTAATGTCTATCCAATTGTTCGCCACAGTTCGTGTTTAACTAAGCCGTCTAATCCCAGATTAGACGAAACACTCACAGTTCTCCATCGCAAAGGAAAAAGATATATAGGAAAGGTTGGGAAATTGCTTTTATTTTTGAATGAAAATTAATCGCTCCTCGACGTGGCGCGAAATAATAGAAGGAAGACACGCATGCGCCAATTCTTAATATTGTTTATAGATGTATGCAAATGTTTCATGAGGACAAAGTAGGTCCCTGACCTAGGTCTACCTTTTTCACGGTGTTTTTCGACGCTTTTAATGTTTGTTTTAGGTACAATATGTCAGAATTACGAAGGAGGAAGGCTGGTCCCAGAAAAGACAAGAATCGGCCTTCGGCACCTCATGCGAACGACAGTTCGAAAGGCCAGCTGAAATCTGAAAGGAAACCGGAACAAGGGGTTTGGTATACTTGCGTTAATTACATCTTTGGAGCGACTGTTGCCGTGATTGTGGGACTCAGATATGCTCTATATGTGCGGGAACTTCACGAAAATGATATGTGGTTCTCCAACATAGGCGTAAGTGGTCAAATTAAACATAAATTAGCGCAGTTTTAGTGCTGAATGTGTGTCCATTGTAGTTATATAGCTATTATAATAGCTATCTCATCTATTTTACTGTTTTTTTTCCTCATGTTTGCTTTAAATTTGAAATATAGTCGGTTGCCTTATATCGATTATTAAAATTTGAATATGACTGGTTCCTAATATCCTTACGATGACCGACTTTGACTGAGCGCTATTTTTTTTCAAAAGTCAATTGGGAAATTAGAATTAAATAATCCTTCGACTACTGCCTACTTAAGCGAGAAATATTGTAATGAATGGTATTTTTTAAAAGGAGTTGGATATTGGTTCAATTACATTTGGTTCAAATTTTCTTAATTACTAACTATTTTTTGCTTCCTTTGACCTGAGCATTAAATATCTCGACACAGCTGAGCAACATAGTTTTTTCAAATTATGTTGTATCTAAAGATAATTTTTTTAATGTTTGAATCTTACTATCTTAGAGTGGTAGAAGTATTGAAATCTGAAGATTTCTGAGATAGGAAGAGCTAATTATACTATATAGTAGCTGTGCCAATGAAACATTTTTGAATA